AGCCGCCAAGGGAAAGGCCTTAAACCTTAGACCCTAGACCCTAAGCCGTATACCCAGAAATTTGAATCCGGTTTCTAAGACTTAAACGATCCTAAACCGTAAAGCCCATTTGTAGACCTTGAATCGACGACTTCTAAACCTTTAAGCCTGTCAACAACCCTTAACCTTGTACCCTATACCTTAAACCCTCTAAACCCTAAACCGTATTTGAAAGCCCTAAACCCTAGACCTTGTACCCTGAACCCTGAAACCTAAAACCCTAAGCCCTATAAACCCTATTTCTTGATTAAACGACATGAAGCCGTAAATCCTATAAACGACCCTAACCCTTATACCCTAAACCCTCTAAACCCTAAACCGTATTTGAAAGCCCTAAACCCTAGATCTTGTACCCTGAAACCATATACTTGAAGTCCTATAAACCCCATTTCTTAATTAAACGACCCGAAACCGTAAATCCTATAAACGACCCTAACCCTTATACCCTGAAGCCTCTAAAACATAAACCCTGTTTGAAAGCACCAGACGACCCCGAAAACCCCTTGCCGCCAAGGTAAAGGTCGATCACGCCGCTCGTGAGCTGGGGAAGATGTGCCCACCAGGGCCACAGCTACGGGAATCCTTAAGGTACCCGAAGATCCCCATACCCCTTAATTAAGGATTATACCTTAAACTAGAGGGGGCTTAATATGATGTAAGGCATATTCCTTATTTAAGGGGTAGTGATGGGTAGTGGGTTCTCTGGGTAGGTGGGGTTTAGGGTAGAGTTCCTTTAAGGGTTCTTCAAGGGGGTCTGTAAGGGATCTATAGTAGGGTTCTATGGTTTAGGGGCCTTAATCATTAGAATAGGGTTTGGGGTATATTGTACCATAAATACAAAAAGGAACCCCCTAAATCCTATGCTAATTATCAAGGCCCTTACAGTAGGCAGGAATTAGGGTGTAAGGGTTTAGGCTTTAGGGTTTATGGATGTTTAGTGTTTAAGGGCTTACAGTAGGTAGGGTTTAGGGTGTAAGGGTTTAGTGTTTAGGCTTTTACCTTAGGGTTTATAGATGTTTAGGGTTTAAGGGTTTCAGGTATACCGGTTTAGAATGGTTAGGGTTTAAGTGTTTTCAGGGGTCTAGGGTTTAAGGGTTTCAGGCATGTTTAGGGTTCAGGTTTTCCGATTTTAGTTTGGATTTGGGTCGAGGGTTTGCGGCTAGAGCCTTTTCGACCCCCTCTTCCTGAATGCCTGAAGTGGTAACTGTGAGTCACCTTTCCTTATTAAGGATTCCCGGTGAGCGCAAGTTTCCGTCTGTCTGAGCTTTAGGTACGAGTTCCTAGCGAAAGTATTTACAAAAGGTGCAGTTCCGGCCGTTTGTGTTTTCGATTTGGGTCTTGCGTTTTGAGTCGAAGGACTTTCTTAAACTACCAAGCTCTACTTTTTTGTTTGTGGGCTCTTATTATGAACTCTAATGTGAAATGTATACGGACCCTGCACAAAAGTAGGTTTTGCCAGATTAAGGTACTTGCCCTAAACCCTAAACACTAAACCCTAAACCGAAGCATTAGCAGGCCTGAGAGAGTCCTCCGGTTGATGATATAAATCCTGCATGACCTGATTGACCCTAAACTATGGGGCAGGATCTATATCATCAACCTAAACCCCTAAACCCTAAAGCCCTACAGATCCCTTGAACCCCTTAGAGGTACTGCTGGAGTGAACCAGCAGGCATAGAAGCAGAAGCTACTAGTGGGGTAGCTAATCCCCTAGCAGAGTCTTCCCAACTGCCCATGGCTCAAGTCACGGACTTTTCTGTCGCCATTTCGCAGGCCCCTTCTTGCCTTTGTGAGCTCAGGCACGATGGCAGCCTACGGCCTTGATACGAGCGACTTGTTGGCGAACATCTCGGCGGGAGACTTGCCCGCTGCTCTTGAAGCAGCTGGGGAGGTTGAGAACGAGGCACTCTTCAAAGCCCACTTGCCCTCACGCCCGATCCCTGAAGACGCTTCCTCAGAGCATGCCGCCGCAGTGGAAGCCATAGCCGGCTTGCAGAAGTACGCGGCATCCTTTGAAAGCAGATCGTTTCTCTATACCGATCAAACAACAGAAGCACTTGCTGCTTACGCTGCCAGCCAGTCCGCGGAGCAAGTGATAGTGGTGCCAACGCGCGAACTGGTGATGAGTGCTAGGGACAACCTGGTGACCTACGGTAGCCTCATCCGCACGCTATCCTCCCAGCCTTGGTTTTCCCCAAAGGCGTTAGCGAGTCCATCGTGGAATACCCAGGCCGTACTCGATGCGGCACGTGCTGTGATTTCATCTCAGCCTTCACTGACTCCGGATCAGTATCAGCGATTCCACAATTCGGCACGATCCAAGCTTGATGCGGCTATGGGCAGGCTCCGCTTGAACAAGGGGATTAATGAGGTGCAGAGGGATTTGGCGAGAGCAATCGGCCTCACCCCAATCACTCCTGTGGGGGCGTCTTTGTCTGGCTCGGTCACGCCGGGATTGAGAGGTGCTCCTGACGCTTATGCCGGCCAGTTGATTCAAGACTCGACTGCCATAACGGAGATCGCCACGGAGCTCCTCAGGTCTGCGGCGCACCCGTGGTGGCTTGCGGGCCACAACAGCGCAGCTGAGCAGACCACCCACGACGCATCTGTCGGCACGATGACCCAGGAGACCCGGACCATTGCCACTGGAAGACTGAGACGACAGGCTGAAACTGCTGAAGTGGATCTTGCTAACGCTGCGATCGCTTTGGCTGCTTTTGTGGCAACACTAGAGGGCCATGCGTCGTATGAGACTGGGCTGGGCAAACTCGTTTTGCCTTCCATCGATCCGTCCAGTTTTAGCGCCATAAGTGGACGTTCGGCGGCAAGCGATGTGGAAGCGCTTGGGAGAGCCTGGAGGAATGCCACCATGGCCTCCTACGTCAAGGTGGCCACAGATCAGACTGCCAAGTTCGATGCGGCAGGGGTCTCGGTCGCCATCTATGATCTCTCACCAGCATCCTTGAGGATCTTGGAGCCCAGTTTGAGCCACGATGTGAGGATATCGGTGCACCGCATGAGTGAGGTCCACAAAACAAAGGCGTTCAACAACGACCCTTCAGGAGTCTTCAAGAGATCGTTCTTGGGGTCGTTCTACATTGGGGCCTTTTATGGCATTGGGCTCATAACCTGCTGGAGTGAACCAGCAGGCACAGAAGCAGAAGCTACTAGTGGGGTAGCTAATCCCCTAGCAGAGTCTTCCCAACTGCCCATGGCTCACTCGAACACGGAGGTTTTACACGCAAGCAAAAGATCAGAAACATGACTAGGGCATGACACCAATGTTGATGCATGTGCAAATGTGATTAAAATGCATTGCTCAAGGCTGTACTGTTCGGGCCTAAAGAGCAAAAGAGGAAAACGTTTCACATGTACACGTGACGTGAGCTACAAAGGTGGCATGCTTTTCAGCAGGTACCCTTATAGATCCCTTTAAATTAAAGGAACCTCAGGTATATTCCTTATTATGGGTAATGCAAGATTTATATCATCAACCGCCCAGCTGATAGGCAGTACCGGAACACATGGGCAGTTCTCTAAATTAGGGTGCCTTGACACCCTTATAAAAAGGGACACTAGAAGGGACCCTAAGTTAGACAGCTACCCGAATGAAGTGGGGTTTGTGTTAGGGTTTTGGTGAGTGTGGATAGAGCTCCTTGAGGAACACGTGCTGGTGCACGTCTTGGCTGATTTTTGTGGGTGGGGGTACCAGCGCTAAAATCCCCTCTGTATGCAGTTTCCACGATCAGGAAATCAAGCTCTCAGTCAAGAACCATACGTGTGAAGGGCGTTTCTCAAGAAATGCCGATGCTGGACAGTCGGACCGTTATTGTAGCTTTCACAGGAAGAAGCACTGAGGCCCTAAACCCTAAACTTTAAAAGACTAAATCCTAAGCCCCAAAACCTGAACCCCAAACCCGAAACCCTAAAGCCCTAGGCCCTAAACCCCTAAGCCCTCAACCCAAAAAGACTAAAGTGAGGAGGACGGAAGTTTCAGACAGCTTGACCCCACCAAAGGGGAAGTCCCAGTCCGCTTGCCAAAAGCATGATGCCCGGGTTTAGGCTTTAGGATTTAGGGTTTAGGGTTTAGGGGTTTAGGGTTTAGGATTTAGGGTTTAGGATGTAGGGTTTAGGGTTTAGGGGTCTAGGGTTTAGGCTTTAGGATTTATCAAAGGGGAAAAGGAGGGACCCTTAATGGGGACCCCTACCCTATAATGGGCTATATAATGGCTACATAATAGCTATATTAAGGGTACATACCTAGGGGTCCTTACTAAGGGTCCCTCCTTTTACCCCTTAGGATTTAGGGTGAAACTAGAGGATATTGGGTTTAATGTTTTCGGTTTGGGATTCAGGATGTAGGGCTCGGGGTTTAGAGTTGGGATGTCGTATGAAGGTGCTAGAGTGTGGGGCTTGGTGTTTGCAGCTCGGGGCGTCGTTGAGTGATTACGGTTGAGGCTTGAGGTGCATAGAAAAGTACACGTTCTATCTCTCTCGTGTCTTCTTTCATGTTGAGGAAGAAGTTTGTACGGGATGCTTTTTGTGCCTTTTGGTGCATTCCTTTACTTACACTGTTGGCGGGCTACCATAGCTGATCTCCAGCGCGGTGTCCGACTGGGCTACTGCCCTCAACCCTGAACACTAGAACACCTCAAACACGCCACCACCAACCCATTCTCTGTTTTTCGAAGCCCCATAGCCCTGAAAGTTGTAATGTCGCCTTAGGCACTCAATGTGCCCTAGACTCCTTAGGTTGGAATTTCTCGGAAGACTTTGTATTTCGTGCATGTTTGAGGCTTCCCTAGGGTTTAGGGTTCAGGGCGCAGCTTGCATAGTAGTAATATGGGAAACCTTATTTTGGGGTCCTTATATTAAGGGTCCTGCTATTTAGGGTACTATGTTGGAGTCCCCCATTTTTGGAAGCTCCCATATGAAAGCCCGAGACCCACTCGATGGCAAAGGTTGCGCGGACCTTGCGCGAAGCTCGTGAGCTTGGCCCGGGACTTGGGTGGCCTAACCCCAAGCCCTAAAGCCCCCAAACCCTAAACCCAAAGTCCAAAACCCTAAAAACCCCTAAACCCAAAGTCCAAAACCCTAAAAAGCCCTAAACCCCAAACCCCAGAAGCCCAAGACCCAAGCTCGAAATTTGCGTTTGGCTTTGCCCCAAACACCGCCTTGGTAGGATTCGGAAGCTCCAAGCTAAACCTTGGCGATTTGTTTTTTTGGGGGGCTCTGGAAAATTATAGTTGTGAGAGTCCAAAAAAGTATTGATACCCTGGCCTGGATACTTATAGAATAGTTAGTGTGTGTGTGTGTGTGTGTGTTTGGTTCCTAGGGTCCGTCATTTTATAAAGACCTCTGGAATGAAGACTTATGAGCAGTATGTAAGAGCCATCAGGCTGAGTCATCATCGTCAGGGCCTGGGCATGGGCGTCTTGGGCTTCGGTCATGTGGCAGTCAGAATCGGCCCGGTGGACCCCAAGTCGATCGATGTCGTTCCGCCGAAGCCCTGCTTGAAGAATCCGGGCCTTAGTAAGGCGGCTAAAACTTAGAATTACAGTCCTTTTGCAGGCAACCCTAGCGAGGTGTTTATAGATGCACACCATACGTGTATATATATATATATATATATATATATATACACATATATATATATATATATATGTATATATATGTATATATACATATATGTATATACAGATTTATACACTTACTGAGAAATAACTCACGCTATCATTACATCCACACCCTCAGAGACTCCAATATCCCTTAATTCAGGAATAGTCCTTAAATCATATAAGGGAGCCTACTATAATTTAAGGTATATTCCTTAATTAAGGGATATTGGAGTCTCTGGGCCATCCAAACCTACGCCGCTCAGGCGCTTTTTCAGGCGACTTGAGATGGGACTGGTCGAAAGGCCTGCTGAGCTGAGGGGTTTAGGGTATAGGGTTTAGGGTTTAGGGAGGGCATAAAGTTTGGGGTGTTCGGTTCAGGGGTAAGGATGATGGTTCAGTGTGGAGCCTCCGACATAATAATGGTATTGGCTGGTCCGGTTCGAGCTTGTGATGCTCAATGAAGCCTGCATTGGGGTTTAGGGTTTCCGGCAACTTGTGTTATGTGAGGTTGCGATGAAGACCGCTCGCCATCGCAGCAGCTACTACCACCACCGCAGCAGCACCATCCATCACAACCTTAGCCTTGCTTACATAAGAACATGAAATGCCAACTTCGTGGCACAAATCGCCAGAAACAACGCGAAAAACAACAGCTGCGGCGCTACGAAAGGCCGCGTTGCAAACCCAATGGCAGAAGATGCGCCATCACCAAATCTACGGTGGGGTGAAGAAGAGCATTGGCCACAACCGCAAAAAATGGCAACAGCAATCACAGCAAGAAACATAAACGCGACAGCCGCCATGCACCGCCGTCGGCAAAAGACAGATTAACTGCACGTTGTGCTGCTGCTATTGCACCTACTCCTACTCCTACTACTACTGCTACCACCACTACTACTACTACTACCACTACTACTACTACTACTACTACTACTACTACTACTACTACTACTACTACTACTACTACTACTACTACTACTACTACTACTACTACTACTTCTACGACGGACATGCCTACTGGCATCACATGGCAAATTGGGGTGGAAGTATCAGGCGTGGAGTTGTCGCGCGATGGGCGCGCACAAACTCGGAGACAGGAGAACAAGGATGATCTTGTCAGAGCCGGCATTCTTAGCTGGCTGGCTCGCCTGTACGCTTGCAGACTGGAGCTGCAGCAGCGCCGGAACGGGCAGCCAGACGGGCAACGACGACGTCGCCAACGCTGGTGCTGCTATGTCCTCGCCCGATGCAGCGACTTGGACTTGATTTGTTCCGAGTCAAATGGCCGCTCGCCTACTACAATGCCCACTACGATGCCTACTACGGCTACTACTTACGACTACTACAACTGCTATGACAAGCACGACTACTACTGCTACTGCAAGTGCGACTGCCACTTGTGCTGCCACTGCCTCTGCCACTGCCACTACGGTTGATGATACAAATCCTGAATGACGCATTACAAGGAATAATTTACCATCATTCCCATCGTCTAGCGTCATTAAGGTGCTGCAGGGTTTACATCATCAACCTAAACCCCAAAACCCTACAGATCCCTTAAAGGAGCCCCTTAAAGGTACCCTTATAGATCCCTCTAAAGGAACCCTAGGAGTTACATCATCAACCGCACTACGGTGGATGATATATATCCTGCATTACCTTAAGGACCCTAAACTATGGGAATTATGGTATATTCCTCATTATGGGTAATGCAGGATTTATATCATCAACACTAGTACTGCTGCCTCCGCTGCCGCCGCTCCTTCTGCCAGTTCTCAAGTTCCTCCAAGCTGCTTAGAGCATTAGGGTTTAGAGTTTAGGGCTTAGAGTTTAGGGTTTAGGGTTTAGAGTTTAGGGCTTAGGGTTTAGGGTTTAGGGTTTAGAGTTTAGGGCTTAGGGTTTAGGGTTTGGAGTTTAGAGTTTAGGGCTTAGAGTTTAGGGTTTAGGGTTTGGAGTTTAGGGCTTAGGGTTTAGGGTTTAGGGTTTAGAGTTTAGGGCTTAGGGTTTAGGGTTTGGAGTTTAGAGTTTAGGGCTTAGAGTTTAGGGTTTAGGGTTTGGAGTTTAGGGCTTAGGGTTTAGGGTTTAGGGTTTAGAGTTTAGGGCTTAGGGTTTAGGGTTTGGAGTTTAGAGTTTAGGGCTTAGAGTTTAGGGTTTAGGGTTTAGGGTTTAGGGTTTAGGGCTTAGAGTTTAGGGTTTAGGGTTTAGGGTTTAGAGTTTAGGGCTTAGAGTTCGGGGTTTAGGGTTTGGAGTTTTGGGTTTAGGGCTTAGAGTTTAGGGTTTGGAGTTTTGGGTTTAGGGCTTAGAGTTTAGGGTTTAGGGTTTGGAGTTTTGGGTTTAGGGCTTAGAGTTCGGGGTTTAGGGTTTGGAGTTTTGGGTTTAGGGCTTAGAGTTCGGGGTTTGGGGTTTGGAGTTTTGGGTTTAGGAATCAGGGTTGAGGGTGGTTCTTGGTGGTTGGAAAGGCAGCTCCAAGTAGAGACATAATCTGTAGGATGCCCTGATCCTGGAGCCTTAACTTTTCTACAGAAGCCTCAAGAAGCACCTAGGACGCGAAGCACTATACCGACCCTTATGATCAGGTATCCAAAGCCCTATAACCCTAAACCTTGAGTTACACCGAGCCCCTAACTCCCTCAATCCCTAAACTCCCAAGCCCTAAGCCCCTAAACCACTAAGCCCTAACAACCCTAAAGCCGACCACCCCTAAGACCCCAAGCCTCTTAAACCACTAAGCCACTAAAAGCCCGTAAGCCGACTCCCCTTGAAGCCCAAGCTCCTTCCAGGAAGCCAGGTAATACCCTTATTCCCTTTTTGTAGTCTTAGGTTCCTTACAAACAATACCTAATACCAAGAAGGGAGCCCTTTGTATTCCTAGCTTACTTGGCATCCTAGCCTTACTCCCGGAAAAGACCCTTGAAACCCCCCAACCATGAGCCTCCCAAGTGGCTTAGGGCTTAGGGATTTAGGGTTTAGAGTTTGGGGTTTTGGGTTTAGGGGTTTAGAGGTTTAGGGTTTGTGGGTGTTAGGGTTTTAGGGTTAGGGCTTGAGGTTTAGTGTGTAGGGTTCAGAGTTTAGGACGTAAGGTTAGGGTTTCTCTCAAAGCCCAACACCTTGCTGGCCAGGATACTTTGAGCTCCAGTGAGGAAAGGTCAGGGACGGGTCGGGGTATATTGCAGGGGGCTGGGACTGCTTAGACTGTTTGTTTGAACTTGTAGATTTTCGGTTTCTAAACCCTGAACCCTAAACCTCAATACCATGAAAAAAATCTTTAAAGTAACCCTTTTGTGGAGCCTTCATGACAATCCTTTGAAGGAACCCGCGGGATTTCAGAGTTTCGGGTTTGACTATAGACATTGGAAGTCCCTGAGCTTCGCGTCTCGACTGGTCACAGCAGCAAAAAGAGCGGGGCTTGAAGTGTTCCTCTAAGGTTTCGTTTAAGGGTTCCTTGAAGGGCTTTAAGATTTAGAGTTAAGGGGTTTTAGGGTTCAGGGCTTTAAGGGCTTTCCCAGAGAGCCCAATACCCATAGCTTAAATCATGATATGAAGCCCTATAGAATAATTTAATCCATACTCCTTAATCAAGGGGTATTGGGCTCTCTGGGTTAGGGTTTAGGGCTTTGGGGATTTAAGGGCTTCAAGGACTTTCGGGCTTGGGGTTCGGTGTTTAGGTGCAATAGCAAAAGATCGTCCAGGGGGTCGTACGGTTTAGAGTCTGTGGTGGAGGTTTGGAGTGTTGCTGGATACAGGAGGGCTATTCGCTGGGTGCTGCAACTATTTCGTGAGGCTTTGCATTGGGCTCATTCTCATGCCGCAAGGTGTTTGTCGGTTCTTTTTTCAGCTGTTCAAGTTGTAAGATGCGCCTTAAACCCCTAAACACCCAAGCAGTACACCTGCCAGTCTCGGTAAGGTTACCTTAGCCATCGTGGGACGTAGTAAGTAGGGTTTCCATCACCTCAGTCGGGTTTATCAGTAGATATAGCTGCAGTTACCTGACCTATATCCGTACTTACCAAGTCTCCGAATCTTCCAAGTTAACCTCACAGGGCTCCACGGGTGCGAGGAAGGTATATGTGGGGTAATTCCAAGTCAGAATCCTCATAGAATGGATCCTTACTCCTACCTAATGTAGGGGCCTTTTTATAATTAGAATAGAGTTTGGGGGATAGTATACTATAGTTATAATAAGGAACTCCCAAAACCCTATTCTAATTATTAAGGCCCCTACATTACCTTCATTCCATGGGGATCCCGGTTTTGCAATATGGTTAGTTTTCTTTTTAGGGTCTCTAAAACAGTATGACACCCTTATCAAGAGGACACTATACGGGATCCTATTTTATATTTAGAGAGCTACCCGGTTGTAGACGTTGGTGGCTGAGGCGGCCTGGCAACAAATTCAATCCGTGATCCCCAAACCGGAATACGTACTGGCAGATACTTTAGAGCTTAGGTAACACTACTTACTAAGTCCCATGATCCTCTAAACAGTGTTGTGAGCTCAAGAGCGTATGTCGACTGCACAATAAGCAGCGGCTTCCATTCGTGAGACAGCCGCCCGCTTGCAGGCCCACACTGCGAGATTCTTGTTGCCAGCCTACCGCACAGACCACAAACCAACATGTACAATTCTTAACCGAGCCCGTAGCTTGTCAACCCTATATAAGCCCTAAACCCCACCCCAAACCTTGAACCCTAAACCCCAAACCTTAAACCCTGAACCCCTAAGCCCTGCTATAGAACCCGTAAAGCCTAGACCCCAAAACCCTAACTGTAGACAGTCTCAACACTCACTGAGGGCAAGTCTGAGGGAGCTTGTATTTCAATGCAAGCCTCTAGAGAGGTAGACCTGTCGCTGCGGAGAAAGGTCATTCAAAAAAACCCTAAATTTTCAACCGGAAGACTCCCACGCATCATGGTGGCACCCGACCTGTCGAAGCAGCGCGCGGCGGGGGGCCATAGCTGTTTTTGCTTTTCTTAGCAGCTGGCGTTTGGGGTTTGTGGTTTAGGAATTAGGGTTTTATGGTGGGTATTGCCCCCGCTGAGTAACAGTTAAATAGTAGTGTCTATAATACAGATATAGAATGCCCTGAATGGTAGCTATATAGTAGTATGGGGGCAGCACGCAAAGTTGATGTCCGTTTCTGTAGGCCCGACCATATATCGAAGCCGTCAATCCTCGAACCTTGAATTTGATGTTCGCAATTAGAGTTGACCATCTAAAAACCCGAAGCCCTGAAAGCTTAAACCCTAGAAGCACAGAATCCAAAGCCACCTGGCAACCCTACAGCGCCAGAGGCAGCTTTCCCGCTTCTTCGGAATGGCTGTCCTCGGCTTCCTTCCAGCTGTTGCTGTTGCTGCTGTTGTTGTTGTTGTTGGTGGTGGTGGTGGTGGTGGTGGTGGTGGTGTTTTTGCTGGCGTTGGCAGCGACTGTTGGAGCAAAAATGGCAGAAGCGGCTGCGTTTGCAGTAGTAGTGGTGGCAACGGCAACTAGCTCAATATTAGGGATGCATTTTACGGCACTTGGCGTCTTTCGATAGGCTCCTATCATCTATGGCTTGTTTTGCAGAACCTTTGTTGCCGAAACATTGAAAGTCTTGTTGTATAGTTCAGAAGTTTAGCGCGTCTAGGAAATGAACCCGAAACCCGTAAAGATTTGACGAGGTGCGAGGGTATTGGAGCCATTAGTTTAGGTTAGATCCCAGCAAATCTAGTTGTCTTGGTAGGACCCAATGGCAGCGGTTTTTTGCGCGTTTGTGGTAAGGTTCTTCATGGAGCTGCGTGCTGGGGGATCTGTAGCTGATGGTCGATTCAAGATGTCCGGAGCGGTTTGCATCAGGTTCACAGGCCAGGACTGCCGAACTAACACATGCTGCTCATCCAAAAGATGAATTGTCTTACCCGCCAAACACCCCAACCCCTAAAACCCTAAAGCACGAACAGTACGGATTGAACGCGGATCTCCGCTCCCGACTCCTCCGATAACCCTAAAGCTCCCCAGGCGGAGGCCAATCTGAACTTGACGGGTTCCGCCGTCCACTCAGCTCGTCAGAACAGATGTGCTGGTTTCTGTAAATCGAGGGTCCTGATGCAGACCCTAGATCTTAGCGATCCTAACTACATTAACCGTTAAGTAAAAGACCACCGGTTCAAAAAGGACTGTAGATGCTGTTGAGTTCGTTTCACACCCTGAACTTAGATAGACCCAAACATTTCTGGATCCTCAACACCAAAAATTATAGCAGTAGAGTAAGTAACCTTCACTTTTTGTGAGGGGTTTCAAAACCTCATAATTTATAAGAGTAGGTAACCTCTACCCGTTTTGGGTGTTTTTGTAACCCCTAAATAACTCCAAAGGTTGACTTAGCTCGCTTACAATACTGGACAAGTCAGGAAGTACATAGCTTCCTTGGCCGTTAATCCTAAAGCCCTCTCCTGCCAAACATCCTTTGGCTCAGGTTTCTCCAGGCATTGAGATTTAATTTTTTGCACACGCAGGATTCATCGAACTGTTCGGTAGAAGATGCTGTGCGCTCCTTCCCCTACACCATTTTGTCCAGTGGAACTCAGCAGTGACCTCAAAACCCAACTCATGAAGAAACCCAGCTGTATCCTGCCGGACTTCTTACGCAGGCAGCCTCAACTCCACCAGGCAATCGCCGATATGGGAGTTTCCGGACATAGGGGGCCCTAATATAGTGCCTAAATAGTAGGGTCCTTATTGTAAGGACCCAAATCTACAGCACCCCTAATTTTCGGAAACTCTAAACTCTAAACCGTTGATGGAACCCTTATTGATCCTTTTAAGGAACCCTTAAAGGATCCCTTTGTCTGGGTCTCATCATGGAAGATTACGGAAGAAAAGGTAAGCGTGGATCCAAAGGCTCCCGCAATAAAGGCGACAACCCAAGCAACAGGAAAGTTTAGGGTTCTAAACCCTAAACCGTGCCAACAGCATGACTGGACACCCGACAAAGGCTATGGCAGGACTCCTTCAGCTGAACTCCAGCGAAGAGGAAGAAGACGAGCAGGATTTCAAAGACAGAAGGTGAAGGGTTGCCTATAGGCTCCATTGTAGTTCCCTTTTGGGGTTAATGTTTAGAATCCTTTAAAGTAGTCCAACAAAAGAAATAATTACCATGGAGCCTATGTCAGGCCCGTGGCTCATTCCAGTCTAGATCCTCCAGTAGGCAGTCCAGGATCATGGGACTTAGAAAGTAGGCTTATAAGTATTTTAATTAGGGCTCTAAGTAGATATAACTATAGATACCTTACTTATAACGCTGCTTACTAAGTCCCGTGATCCTCTAAGCAAGGATGGATTTTCAGAGGCAGTGGAGGCTCCGGTCAGTACGGTCTCCATCAGCAGGGCCATCCAGCGGTTCTTACTGCCATCGTTTGGCGTGGCCGGGCTTCATTTGGGGCGCTTCCTCCTGCTGCCCGCATGGCCGCCGCATGCCTCCGACACTCTTCACTTACTGGCTAGTCGCACAAGGTAGAATCCTTCTTTGAAAAGATCGTCCAGATCGCTGCTGGGGTGAGAAGGACTTCGATCAGTACGGACCCGGGCGCTGCGGCGGGATGATCGTCATGATGCTAGGCGGACCGGCCCGCGGGGGAATGCCCCTTGGATGACCGACCCTAGCTTTCTCTTCCCCTGTAAGGAGTGTATGGCCTTAGCCGGTACAATCCTCTCTTGCAAAGCCTGTCAGGTAAGATGTAATTACGATTGATGTGTTCCTCCCTAGCTTTCCATGTCCGTTTCTCGTCATCTGAAACAATGCTAACTAATTGTGATGATGAATTTACTCCCAGCTACTTTGGTTGCAGTGCCTGCCCCGCCTGTAAAGCACTTCGCACCTACTATGCTCGTGTGTGCGGCAATGACCAGGCAGAACCCAACAACCCCGATTAGCATGTTCTAGTATTAGGCTGCACTCCAGTTTTTCCAGTTTGAGCTAACGAGATGACTACAGCAATCCGACGAAGGCTGTAAACCCTACCCTGCAGCCTTAATTTAGATCCCAAGTTTTGTATATGCCTCATTTAGATCCTCAGTAAAAACCCAAAGCCCTTAACCCCTTAGCCACCCACAAAGGTTTTAGAAACCCGCTTTGTACTCGTAGACCTTACACGTAATTACCA